CCGCGCGCGCCTCAAGGAGCCATCAGACCACCACAGATGGGGCCTAACAGGGCTGATGCCGATACGGAGCCGCGGAAGACTTAACGGGTTACCGGGGCTCCGGCTCGACGTGCAGGAGAAGGAACGGGGTGGTTTTTAGTCAGTAAGAGTCTGACACTCCCTCCCGCCTCACCCGGGCGGGAGAAGTCATTGGATGATTTTCCCCCCTCAAAAAAAAAAAAAAAAAAAAAAGGGCCATTACTGAAGAATTAAAACCTTGGTAATGTACCACATACCGCCGTCCCATTCGGCGACAGCTCCGAAGCACGAAATAGTAGCAGCAAGCACGCGATTTGGGGACACGCACACATAGGTAACTGATGACAGAGTTACGTAATCATGTAACATTTGGAATAACGCTATGTTACGCCTTTCAGTCGGGGAAAGGAACGTTAAAAGAAACATTCCAGAAGGGCTCGAATTGGGCACTTGCTGTCATCAAAAATAAATAATTTCGACTGATGAACACAATCAAATATTAAAACATAATCAGAAAGAAAGAAAGAAAAATCATTTATTCGAAAGTAGGCACGCACACAGATACAAAAAAAAATACAAAATTAAAAAAGAAAATAACAAATAAATATACTTATTTATACAGATATAGAAAAAAAACACAAAGAAACGACAACGTATAACAAAACAGTGACAATAGAATACTAACAAAATAATTAAAAATTAATAAAAAACAAGATATAAATAAATAACATTTAACGGTGCGTGCCCTTGCCAAAAGGGCCTCCATCTCAGCATTAAGTTGAGTGTACATGCCCAACGCATCACACTTTCATTAATTGATTATACGACCAACTTAATTTTAGTATTTTTCAAACAAATTTTTAATAAACAAGTATGTTGTTTGACGCTAGAAAAACGTGACGTCACAATACACAATCTCGTACACATGGCCACACATCAATCTATACAAAACCAGTTTAACCTGGTGTTGCGTCGCATCATCTTTCCGCACATTTAACGTTCAGTTTATACTGGTTATGTAAAACTCGATGTGTAGCCGTGTATACAAAATTCATAGAAAACTGTCGTTGTTGACAGTTCGTAAAAAGTATTGAATTTGATTAGTTGGCAAGGACCCAAGAGCCCCAGCGCAGTCTAAGACGGCCCTGCACGAGCATCTTCTATTTAACATTAAACAGTTACTTACGATATGTTGTTACATGTAATAGAGGCTGATCCTATTGTCGTGTATGTATGACACAGAGCCAGCCACCATTTTATTTTTTTGTCGCGGAGAACCTAACGGGTAACCGGGGCTCCGGCTCGACGTGCAGAAGGAACGGGGTGGTTTTTAGTCAGTAATAGTCTGACACTCCCTCCCGCCTCACCCAGGCGGGAGTAGTCATTCGATGATTTTCCCCCTTTAAAATTAAAGCCACCATTTTTTTAAAGTTTCGATAACCGAAAATACTTGAAAACATAACATCACAGCTTTTATCTCCGAAGGTGTAGGCAGAGGTTCACACAGAAGTAACACCCACTTTCCACTATTTATGTTATGTATGAGTCCCATGTAATAGGGAGTGAGCCTATTGCCATATAACGCGCCATTGCACGCCATATACGGCAGGATTTTTTTTTTAAGGGGGGAAAATCATCGAATCACTGCCCCCGCCTGGGTGAGGCGGGAGGGAGTGTCAGACTCTTACTGACTAAAAACCACCCCGTTCCTTCTCCTGCACGTCGAGCCGGAGCCCCGGTTACCCGTTAGGTTCTCCGCGACAATATACGGCAGGATACGCTGGAATAAAATTGTACTGTAACACCTTTTGTACCGTATTTACGAAATAAACATTTTTGATTTGATTTATACCGGGCACAATTCCAGACTTCGTGCTACTACTGAGATTTTTTAAAAAAAACCCAATAATACTTTGCCCGACCCGGGAATCGAACCCGTGACCCCTTACCGCCGCAGTCGCACTTGCGACCACTATGCCAACGAAGCAGTCTTACTTGAAACTTCACCTTAAATCCAAAAATCGAACCCGCGCGCCATGATTACACTACCGAGGTTTTAAAGGTAAATAATAAA